AGATTTTTCTCTTTTACTAGAATGCACCCATGGTCCCAAACTATTTCGAAAGTCTCATCCTAGTTCCTCAAATTTAAGTTTACAGATATAGGTCTCCGATGTATTTGAGTGGTTCGCAGCTAACATGTCATATATTTCTGTTCGAGGAGGCTAGGTGGAAGGTTATGAACCCTAGGTAAATCACTTAAATATATATTGGGGTATCCAGATTGTTAACTCGAGAGTTTAGAGATCGGGACAAGACTTCAGGCATGGTTTAGCAACCGCAAGTGAACTCTATTCTTTCATATTTATTAGAGAAATTCTAGCATATTTCTCTATTCTGTAGCCACCATGGTGAAAGGTCTGACATATCCTTTTATATTTAATATATTTTTCAATTTGCAAATTTCCGAAATGTCATGTTTCAAGCTGGAAAACTTTCTGTTGAAGTTTAAGTTCATTGAGTTGAAAAGTAAATTTCTCCTATTAAGATGTTTCAAATTTACATCTTAATAGGGTACAGGCGAATTTACATCTTATATATATATATATATATATATATATATATATATATATATATATATATATATATATAGAGAGAGAGAGAGAGAGAGAGAGAGATACCTTTTGTCACTCAAGAAATTTGGAAGGCTTGTTTGCTCAGTATCGGAGATGCTCCCTTGTGCAGCTGTAGATGTAGGCTTAGCCGTCCTTTGTGCCTCCTTGAGGAGCTTCGCCAGAAGGTCCTCCAGATTGGGGTACTCGGATGCAATCACCCAAGCAACGCAATCGTATTCGTCGCGACAGTCGTCGTAGACTGCTCTTGCTAGACTACTCTTCCCCACGCCACGGCAACCGACAATCGAGATCACCTTCAGCTCTTGCCCTTCGGCTGCTGACAGCAACATTCCCAGCTCACATCTGTGTCTGCAGATGCTCCTGAAGGTATCCTCATGATCTAGATCTTGGCTATAAGGATTAGGAGGTGTGGCTGAAGGACAGGACGACCGTGTTGCAGCACTGTCTTCGCCATTGCTGGATCCGGCATCAGGTTGCCAGGTCCGTACTTTCTGGATACTACCCTTGAAATGCTCGATTTTTTGCACTATTTCAGGTCGAGGGTCCAGGCCAATTACCGAGCGGAGAGGGCCAGATGCACCCGGAACCCACGTACGATCTATGAAGTCCTCGATATCATAAGCCAACTCCTTCAGTAGCACAACCTTGCTCTCATGTGTCGCCCCTTGGTGGTTCTTCTCATTCGAGTCGATTTCGGCGATCACCAGTTTCATATCCAGCTTGATGTCATTGAGGCCTCTTTTGACTGCACCTTTCACGGACTTCTCTCTCGTGATCAGATCAGCCACCTTGCTAAGCACAGAGTTGGCGAAGGTCACTGCTTGAATCACCTCTCCTCCTATCATTTTGGGAATGGACGTCAACTGGTGGAGTTGATGAAGCGATGGACGAAGCTAGCGCCGTTGAAGTCGCTCGCCGCGGCGGAGCCGCCGTCGGAGTCGCTAGCCGGCGTCGCCGCAGCAGAGCGCCCGCCAGATATGATAGCCAAGCCCCGCCTTGGATGCCTCCCCGGTCCCCGCTGCTGGCTTGCCGTGATCACTCGAGAAATGGAGATGACGAGAAGAGAGACTTTGGAACAGCAGCAGCAAGCGGCGGCTTGGCTGGTGGAGATTTTTTGGTGGCCTAGCTAGATCAGTGCTGTGTGTGTGCGCGCGCGCGACTTGGAGAGACAATGGGATGCGGTTGGGGAAAAGAGTCGGGGGAAGAGAGAGCAGGCATCCACAATGGTAGCATTTTTAATTTGCTAAGGGTGCGGGGGAGACTTGTATATAACTACGAAAGGACTGGACTGGATTAGAGCAACTTTAATGGGGCGACCCAAACGGACGGCGATTTCTTCCGTTTTTTTTTGTCTATTTGGGTCGACCGCCCGCCCGGCATCCGTCCTGTTATAGATATAGATCGGTAGCGCACCGAACGCGTCGATCCATATGCTCATTTTTGCATTTAAACATATAGTCAAATAACATAGTTTGAACCGAGTAAAATAGCATAGTTTTACAAGTCGAATAAGAATAAAAAAGTCTCACATAGTTTTGCAAGTTGAATAAAGAAAATACATCTATTGGTTGCCAACATGAGTCCAGATATGCTCAACCAAATCATTTCGCAGTTGCATGTGAGTTTTTCCAATCACGCATGTCATGATAAAATTGGATGAACTGTTCAAACGTTGCCGCTTCTCCAGGCTCTGGCACAACATTCTCACCCTGAACCTGAAACCCTTAATTGTACAGACGTTTCGGACGCTCGTCTTCTACGATCATATTGTGCATGATCACACAAGCAGTCAATTTGTATATGTTACGATCATATAGTAACATAGTCTAGGGATTTGTATATGTTACCAGTGTATGTTACTCTCCATTGTGGCTAGTCATAGGCTAGTCATAGTGGCAGTAATTTAGATAGTAACATAGCGCATTCCAAGAAATTTTTGCTTATGTGACATGTAGTTAATGAGGAAAGAGGTGTTTAGAGTAACATAGCGCTTCCCGAAAAAGGATGAGTCTACCAGCTAATCAATTAAGTCATTTATGATAGTACTACCGCGTTACTTTGCATTATAAAGATAGTAACTTAGACTAGTGTCATATACATGACACTAATATAAGTTACTCCTCACTATGACCAGACTTGTATATATTGGGAGTAGCTAGCCCTCGAAGATGCATTTGGATCTAGACATCGATCCATGATGATAGCATTTTTAATTTACTGGGTTAAGCGAGGAGAGTATAGTATATAAACTATGAAAGGATCGGATTGGCTGATTATTTTATCTATGCATTAATTAGTTATAATGGTTTGGTAACACAAAGGGCACCACGTGAATTGGCCCCCGCCACATTATTCACGATGTGAGGTCACAACGACAGCGTTAGTGTTTTCCGACGCACCCCTCATGATCACACTTTAGGTCAGAGCTTTTCTCCTCGCATCTTTGCTTTTAACACCCACTGTTCGAGTGTCCACATTGACAGTACCTTTGTTTTTTTTTTCATCCCTACCAACTTCTCAATTGATTGGACGCTCTAAAGAGTATCCACAAAGCTCCCAGTTGTTAATTGATTGGAGACAGTAGCAAAGATGACACAATAGGACCTTCCCTACGTTTTCTGTCAAAAAAAAAGAAAGAAAGATTGGAGACGATATGATAATTATCCAAAAAGACTTCATCTTTGCTTCTTTTTCTTTGAGCGGTCATTATCTCCTTAATTGATTTTTTGAGCAGTCATCATCTTCAATTTTTGAGAGAATCATCTTTGAGTTTTTTTCCATACCTCTCCCACTTCTCAATTAATTAAACGATCTGATGAGTATCCATAAAGACATCATCTTTGTTCTTTTAGCGGTCATCATCTTTGCTTAGTGCGGATATCCATATGAACGTAAACTTGAAGCGTTCTTATTGGCAACTGGTCCCATGAACGTCATGTCCGAGCATATATTTCCTTCAGATTATTCAAGTGTCCGGAGTCCACACCAACATAATCTTTGCTTTTTCGATGCCCATTCCGAGGAGTAGCATCTTTGCTTTTTCGATGCCATTGTGTACTACTTTACCTTGGAGCGTCCAAATCGAGGGCAACTTTTATTTTCCTGAGACCCACACCCCTCATGAAAGTTAAAACTATAGTTTTTCATTATACTACTTCCCGTCAGGTTATATGAACACATAATGATACAACCATTAAATTGGTTTCGTAATGGTGTGTCTTAGGAATCACAAATCAACTAATTACCGTATGGTTGTGTCTATGACAATGGGCTCAAAAAAATTCTGCTAGTTAGGCTATTCTCCGTAGGAGTTTCATTATCATCAATACAATGCCATGTCAGCATTTTTTATGATGTGGCAAAGAATTAGTGAAGGGAGATATGAGAAGGGTTCCATCTAGATGAAACAATGTGCATGGTGTTTCCAATACACCTTGTCTCTCGCATATAAGCATAGGAAACATCAATAATGAGACAATACATTGGCTTAATATTTTATCTATATTTTAACTGGTTTATAATGGTTTGGTAGCATAGAGGGCACCACATGAATTCCCCAGTGCCACGCTCTTCACATCATTGTTTTCCCCACGCACTCAAATAATCACACATTAGGTCGGAGCATTTGTCCCGCATCTTTGCTTTTGACACCTATCGTTGGAGTGTTGAAACTGACAACATCTTTGTTTATTTTCATGCCCCTTCCACTGCTCAATTAGTAATTAGATGATCCGATGAGTATCCACGGAACATCATTTTGCTCTCTTTTTTAGTGGTCATCATCTTTGCTTTTCGGGTATCTATGTGAACATGAACGTCAAGTCGGAGCATATTTCCTTCAGATTATTCAAGCGTCCAGGGTCCAAACCAAAATAATCTTTGCTTTTTCGATGCCCCTGTGAATGTAAGAATGTTACTTTTATTTCAGTGTTCGAGACGGAGCATTCCAATGAGTTCCATTTTATTGGAGCATCCAGAGTCCAGATCAATATAGCATCTTTGCTTTTTCGATGCTTTGGTAAAGTTGCTTTGAAGCGTGCCATGCATGTGCATCTTTGCTTTTTCGATGCTTTGGCAAAGTTGCTTTGAAGCATGCCATGTCTGCCTTCTCGATGCCTCATGAAAGTTACTTTGAAGCATTCAAAGTGATGGCATGTTTGAATTGATCTATCCATGCCTCTCACAAACGTCAGTCGGCATCTTAAATTTTTCGACACCTTCAGGAACGTTACCTCAGAGCACCTACAATAGAAATGGCCTTTTGCATGGGTGGTGTGGTTCTTTGTGGTGGAACCAACCCATCTAGGTTCAAGTCTTAGACTTGGCATGGGTGCTCACATTTCCTGGATTTAATCCAGGATTTAACTGGCGCTTTGCTTTCAGTGGTAGGTCACGTATCCGTCAACAGCGAAGCGCCTGTGGTGACTTCGTCAATCTCTCAAGACCCGCCGACCCGACTCAGTCTCTCGGAAATGCTCATAGGGATAGGGTGTGTGTGTGCGCGCGTTCATAGAGGTGAGTGTTCACGTGTGTTTGTGACGTCTGGACCGTTTATGGAAATGCATGTAGTTCAACAGCTATATATAATGCCAGACAATAGGTCAGGCTAGCCAAGAACCGGTTATGATGCTACCTATTACAACCAGTTCATGTTACAGATCTTTCATAATGCCTCTGGGAGCTATCACAACCAGTTTGTGACACAAACTAGATGCTGTTGATGATTCAAACCGATTGGGGTCGCCTATCTGTATAGGATGAGAACCTGTTTGTGGCTTCAATCGGTTGTGGGAACTAATCTGATTCTTGGATTAAATTAAGCTATAATTGGATTTGGAGATTGCCTATATTAAGATCTACATGCAGGATAAGTTAGGGATCCAATCATTTTTTTTGTTATGGTTACCAACATGTTTTCCTATCTTAGAGTAATTATTTTGGATCTTAAAATGACATTACACAATACCATAGGCATATTCAGAATTAATCAAGCCAGATCAGTGTCCTGGTAAGTATCTTTGACATTTGGCCCTGCAAATGTTGCGAAGGGGACGCTGGTTAATACTAAAACTCTTTCCTATGCCTAATTATATTACTTACTAGCTAAGTTTAGCAGCCCACGGACAGGACACTACTCCCTCCATTACATAAACGGGATTTATATCAACATCTCATATAATTTATTTATTTTGCCATTAGTTTCATAATACATCTCACTTTTCTTCTTGGTTCCTGCACCCAGCCAATACTTCTCACACCTATTTATTCTTAATCCATTCTAAATGGTCTGTCACTAGAAACGCACTAGAAGCGAAAGGGAACTTGGTATAAGTGCACAAATTTATATGAGATATTATGTGGAACCGAGTGAGATTACAAAATCATTTTCACCGGTGGTTCTAAACCCTCCATCACGGCCGGTTTTCGCATTCGCGTGGAAAAAATCGACGGTGATAATTTAGCACAAAACCATTGGTGATAATCATTTTCACCGCCTGTCCATGGCGGTGATAATCTTCTAAAAAATTATTGAAAAGATCAACGGTGATAATTTAGCATAGGACCGATAGTGATAATCATTTTCAATATCGCTTCAAGCCATGGACCGGCGGTGATAATCTTTAAAAAAATTATGTAGCAACAAACCGACGGTGATAATCTTTAAAAATATTATAAAAAAGATAACAGCCCTAATTTTTTTTAAACCCAAGCAAATTAAACTGCACAATCGCCCCATCACAAGGCCGCTCATGGCACGGGATCTTTCACACGAGATAAGAAAGTGTGCATCACAGGGATTCAAGAACTCACAGTCTCCCTGTTTGTTTGGGCTTGTGCTTCAGCT